GCGAAACATTAGATATGGAACATATTCAGAGAAAATCTAGGGTTAAATCGCTTGCGTTCTCAAGATTAGATCATTGTTCAGTGTTAATGGCTCCGTTCAAGGCAGGAGAGACATAACAATTTGAACATATTCCAAAATAATTTCCGGTCCCACAGAGCCAATGAAGCATTTAAATGATTGAAAACGCCTCAAAAGTCCTAAGTATGCACTCGCTGGAATGGAAGAGAGTACATGATAATATATACGTGGAAAGTGCTGAGGACCTAATCCCAAATCAGTACACTGCCGTAACAATATACTAGAGTGAGAAATACTGGAAAATGTGCAGAAAAAACTCAGTGAAGAGCGGGGCGTCGTGAGCCCCGTACCAACAGTGGTGGTCCCAGAAGAACTCAGAAACACTGCCGGAACAAGTGTAGATGTCTTGAAGAGAAACCACTGCTGGAACAGGTGTACAAGTCTTTAAGAAGAAAAACTGCTGGAACAAGTGTAGACGTCTTCATGAAGAAACATTGGTGGAAAAGTTTAAAAGTCTTTAAGAGAAAACAATGCTGGATCAAGTTTAGAAGTTGTCAGGAAGAAACACTGCTGAAACAAGTGTAGTAGTCGTCAATAGGAAACTTGACAAGTACCTCCACCAAGTGCCAGATCAACCAGGCTGTGATGGATATGTGAGACATCGGGGCGTCTGCAGCAACAGCCTGATTGACCAGGCAAGCATCAGACAAGCCTGGCTCAGGGTCGGGTTGCAGGAGGAGGAAGACTCTCGAAACTCTTCTAAGATATTTCAAAAGAAAAGGTACAGGTGTAGGTACAGGTTTAGTAACAGGAACAAGCACAGGTACAGATGATGGTACAAGTGTTGGTACGTGTTCAGGTACATGTACAAGTTTAGGCACTGATAAAAAGAGAGAGAGAGAGAGAGAGAGAGAGAGAGAGAGAGAGAGAGAGAGAGAGAGAGAGAGAGAGAGAGAGAGAGAGAGAGAGAGAGAGAGAAAGTAGTAAATAGATAGTGTCCTAGAGGTGTGGAAGAGTGGAAGTGATGTTTGGTGATGGAGGAAGAAAGAAGAGTGTGAGAGAGGTGATGAGAGTAGGTGAGGAGGGGAAAGGAGGGGAATATGAGGGGGGAAGGGAAGAGATGGTGGGGGAAGGATGAGAGGTCGGTTGAGGAACCTCACCAGTGTTGCTCGTGCTGTGGTGGAGGTCGGATGTGTGGTGTGTGTGTTTGTGTGTGTGTTTGTGTGTGTGTGTGTGTGTGTGTGTGTGTGTGTGTGTGTACACTCTTCCCCACCAGCTTCACCGCGACAACAAGGCGCCAACAACTTTCAAAAAAAGCAAAAACAACACAAAACAAAACAAAAAAAATATTTTTTTAAAAAGTCCTCCATGAACTAACCTAAATTTTAAACCCTAAATAAACAAATTTATTTCAGTATACCGAAGACACAGTAACTAAAACATAGGTGAGAACCAGGCACTGCAACCACATTCAGCGGCCTACACGGAAATATCAGGCCTAGCGAACTTCCGGAGGCACACAGGAACACCACAACACACCGGAAGTGCTCTATAGATGTCTATATTAAGTGTTCCTTTGTTCCAGTAAGTCACAGAGTTTTGTTCCTCTCAGGAAAAAAGCGCAGAAAAGAATATTTTCCTGAATAACAAGCGAGAAAATACACACGCTCCGTTGTGCGTTGAAATCTTCGTAATAAAGTGAACGTAGAGGAAGTGGGCGCGTGTCAGTGAATTAACGCAGTGAAAGTGAACGCAGTGAAAGTGAACGCAGTGAAAGTGAACGCATGGTAGGAAAGTGAACGCATGGTAGGAAAGTGAACGCATGGTAGGAAAGTGAACACCGTTACGAACATTATACATTCGCCAGGAAAGTGAACTCTACCGTACCTGTGTACGTTAATTAAGGCGTACTCTAGCGGTCACCCACAGACATGCTAATAGATTAGACATGATAATAAATTAGACATGATAATAAATTAGACATGATAATAAATTAGACATGCTAATAGATTAGACATGCTAATAAATTAGACATGATAATAAATTAGACATGATAATAAATATGATATGCTAATAAATTAGACATGATAATAAATTAGACATGATAATAAATATGACATGCTAATAAATTAGACATGCTAATAAATTAGACATGCTAATAAATTAGACATGCTAATAAATTAGACATGCTAATAAATTAGACATGCTAATAAATTAGACATGCTAATAAATTAGACATGATAATAAATATGACATGCTAATAAATTAGACATGATAATAAATTAGACATGCTAATAAATTAGACATGCTAATAAATTAGACATGTTAATAAATTAGACATGCTAATAAATTAGACATGCTAATAGATTAGACATGATAATAAATTAGACATGCTAATAAATTAGACATGCTAATAGATTAGACATGATAATAAATTAGACATGATAATAAATTAGACATGCTAATAAATTAGACATGCTAATAAATTAGACATGCTAATAAATTAGACATGCTAATAAATTAGACATGCTAATAAATTAGACATGCTAATAAATTAGACATGATAATAAATATATGCTAATAAATTAGACATGCTAATAAATTAGACATGCTAATAAATTAGACATGCTAATAAATTAGACATGCTAATAAAATAGACATGCTAATAGATTAGACATGCTAATAAATTAGACATGCTAATAAATTAGACATGCTAATAAGTTAGACATGCTAATAAATTAGACATGATAATAAATACATGCTAATAAATTAGACATGCAAACAGCCAGTAGACATGCCAGTAATTTTCTTGATAATTGGCACACAATAACGGAGATAAAACACATTTTTCTTAGAAATTAAAAGTAAATTATATAAGATTTATTTTTGCGAGAAAACTCTCATATATAAAACTTTAATAAAATAATACTGACAAGGTGTCGTCATCATTTACATATGATTTACATAATTTGCTTATTATTTACATATTTCGCCGAAGATTTATATAGTTTGCTTATTTTTTTTCTTTCATATTTCGCCCATGATATACATAATTTGCATAAGATCTACGTAACCTACATGTGATTTGCATAATTTGCATATGGTTTGCGTAATTTGCATGCGACTGTCATAATTTGCTGATAATTTGCACAATATTTACATAATTTGCACACGATTTACATAATTTGTACAATATTTGCATAATTTGCATGCGAGTTACATAATTTGCTTATAATTTACATATTCCACACAAAATTTAAATAATTTACACAAAATTTACATAATTTGCACAATAATAACATAATTTGCATATGATTTATATAATTTTCACGATATTTGCATAATCTGAACAAATATTATGTGATATGCACAAACTTTACACAGTTTGAACAACATTTACACAATCCGTATACAACTGCATAATTCCAGTTGCCTAATTTGTACAAGATTTACATAATTTGCAATAATTTGCATACAATTTAGATAATTTGCATACAATTTACATAATTTTCAATAATTTGCATACAATGTAGATAATTTGCATACAATTTACATAATTTGCAATAATCTGCATACAATTTACATAATTTGCAGAAGATTTACACAATTTACATACGACTTACACAGTTTCCAAACGACTCACTTCAGTAGTAAAGAGAGTGTGTACTCAACGCTGAGGACACTCTTGTCAGCTTCCCTGGAAGCTAGTGGCACCAACACACATATATAAATAGTTTCTTGCAGTTTATTGCTCAAACTAAACACTGGAGGTAAATATCCGTAGTGTCTCTGTCAACTCCTTTTAATTAGTATTCAGACTGATAAAAGGAATAGGAAAAAAGAGAAATGTGACCTGTAACTTGCTCATGGAAATTAATTAACACTAGTCCGGATAAGGGTTCCTTGACACGGCGAGGACGCTGGGTGCGCAAGGGGCTTTTATCGAGACAACGTTTCGATCAACGTAGGACGAAACGTTTTTGTTCGATAGATTCTTGTTCTGCTATATGTGTCTTCGTCATCCTGCTGTTTGGGCAAGACGCCAGTGCATAGTGAAGGGTTACAATGCAGAGATGCTGCAAGTGCTGAGTGTCGTGTTTACCAGAGGACAGGGGAAGCGTCGTAAAGTGAGAGGTAAACACTGAGTGCCCCGGACACCCTTATAAGTGCTCACTGAAACTGCCTCTGTCACTTTCATTTCCAGGCAACACCGTCAACGCAACGCACCTCTGTACGCACCGTCTAAAGCGCCCCCTTCCCCCCCTTTACAGAAGTGTACCTGATACAATAAGTATCAAATATGCGGGTCCAGCAAATGCAGCGTTTTGATACAACTTTACGATACCCTCACCAAGAAGACACCTGTGTATTCCCTTGATAACAATCACTTTTAAATTTTCGTTGAACTTGGTGTACTTATCTACTTCGGGTGACCTTTGTATTCTCAGGCACCTCTTGAGCCTTCACTGTAAAGCCGCTTACGTAATATCTAGATAAGGGATTACCTTTGCAACTCCATTCACTTGTGCAGTAAACTGACTGCTATAAACACCTGTGGATACTCGTCAACAAGGCTATCTGTAACAAGTGACACCCATAGAAAACTCTTATAGCCAGCAGGTCACCCATACCAACGTGAGAGCGGGACAGGTCACTCAGACCAAGGCCAGGGCAGGACAGGTCACTCACACCAAGGTCAGGGCAGGACAGGTCACTCAGACCAACGTCAGGGCAGGAAGGTCACTCAGACCAAGGCCAGGGCAGGACAGGTCACTCAGACCAACGCCAGGGCGGGACAGGTCACTCAGACCAAGGCCAGGGCAGGACAGGTCACTCAGACCAAGGCCAGGGCAGGACAGGTCACTCAGACCAAGGCCAGGGCAGGACAGGTCACTCAGACCAACGCCAGGGCAGGACAGGTCACTCAGACCAACGTCAGGGCAGGACAGGTCACTCAGACCAAGGCCAGGGCAGGACAGGTCACTCAGACCAACGCCAGGGCAGGAAGGTCACTCAGACCAACGTCAGGGCAGGACAGGTCACTCAGACCAACGCCAGGGCAGGGCAGGTCACTCAGACCAACGCCAGGGCAGGACAGGTCACTCAGACCAACGCCAGGCCAGGGCAGGTCACTCAGACCAACGCCAGGGCAGGACAGTTCACTCAAACCAACGCCAGGGCAGGACAGGTCACTCAGACCAACGTCAGGGCAGGACAGGTCACTCAGACCAACGTCAGGGCAGGACAGGTCACTCAGACCAACGCCAGGGCAGGACAGGTCACTCAGACCAACGTCAGGGCAGGACAGGTCACTTAGACCAACGTCAGGGCAGGACAGGTCACTCAGACCTACGTCAGGGCAGGACAGGTCACTCAGACCAACCTCAGGGCAGGACAGGTCACTCAGACCAACGTCAGGGCAGGACAGGTCACTTAGACCAACGTCAGGGCAGGACAGGTCACTCAGACCTACGTCAGGGCAGGACAGATCACTCAGACCAACGTCAGGGCAGGACAGGTCACTCAGACCAACGTCAGGGCAGGACAGATCGACTAGTGTACTGACACATGCTACTCTATGTCTCAATCCGTCGCAGAGCCAACTTACACTATCATTCAAAGCCAAAATTCACAGCCTAAACCAGAATTGAAATTTACTCCTAAAATGATAAAAAACCTCTCAAAGAAACACGAAAATTATCCCAGGCTAAACTGTAAATCCAAGTCAAGGGATTCAATTCCACTATTCCATTTTTATGTTCAAATTCCTTCTTCCAACACAAAGTCAGTCACAAATTCTATAGTACATTTCCCAATCCCAAAATCTCGGTGCCACTCTAGTCTCAGACTCAAAATCACATTGCTGATCTAAGTCTTAATCAAGTTGGCAAAGTTCAAACTTCGACCTCCACTGGCAGGTTTCAACCTTAGTGCTAAGTTGTACTTCAAGTTTAAAACCCAAATCAAAGTTCTATTCCATAGCCTTCCCTTGGTATCCAACATCCTTTACGTATCCTATTATTATCCCTCCCTCCCCCTCGGGTATCCTTCCGCCATCCCTCCCTAATCCTATAGCCTTAAATCGTCCCTCTAACCTCTTGGTATCCTTCCAGCATCCCTAATCTTCAGGTATCCTACCTTCATCCCTATCTAATCCTCCAGTATCCTTCCATAATTCCTCACTAATCCCCAAGCATCCTTCTAGCACCCCTAATCCTCGGGTATCCTTCCATCATCCCTAATCCTCGGGTATTCGTCCAGCATCCATAATCCACGGGTATCCTTCCAGCATCCCTAATCCTCGGATATCCTTTCAGCATCCCTAATTTTAGGGTATCCTTCCAGTATCCCTAATTCTAGGGTATCCTTCCAGCATCCCTAATCCTCGGGTATCCTTCCAGCGTCCCTAATTCTAGGGTATCCTATTATTATCCCTCCCTATCCCTCGGGTATCCTTCCGCCATCCCTCCCTAATCTTCATATATCCTTGAATCATCCCTCTTACCTCTTGGTATCCTTCCAGCATCCCTAATCTTCAGGTATCCTGCCTTCATCCCTAATCTTCAGGTATCCTGCCTTCATCCCTCTCTAATCCTTCTGTGTCCTTCCATGATTCCTCACTAATCTCCAAGCATTCTTCTAGCATCCCTAATCCTCGGGAATCCTTCCATCATCCCTAATCGTCGGGTATTCTTCCAGCATCCCTAATTCACGGGTATCCTTCCAGCATCCCTAATCCTCAGGTATTTTTCCAGTATCCCAAATCCTTGGGTATCCTTCCAGCTTCCCAAATCCTTAGGTATTCTTCCAGCATCCCTAACCTTCGGGCATCCTTCCCTCAGCCCTCGCAAGTCGTCTGTATTCTTCCAGCATCCCAAGCCTGTCATCTCCCCCTCCTTATCTTCACGTAGTTCACCAGCTTCAAGCATCTGCTCCAAGCTATGCTCGACTCTCTACACCACCTGATCAAAAACAGAGTTAAAACGTCATATTCTGGAACTCTGCTGACCTGACCTGGTTTGACCTAACTTGACCTGTGCTGACCTCTCACGCCAGTACGATGTCACCCCCATCGTGGCCTTCGCTCGCTACCCCCACCTGCTGGGGATGGGAAAGGTGGTGGAGAAAGGTATGGGCAGTGCCCACACAGCTGCTGATAGTGCCCACACAGCAGGTGACAGTGCCTACGCAGCAGCTGACACTGCCTACACAGTTGCTGACAGTGCCCACACAGCAGCTGATAGTACCCACACAGCTGCTGACAGTGCCAGCACAGCAGGTGACACTACCCACACAGCTGCTGGGAGTACCCACACAGCAGCTGACACTGTCCACACAGCTGCTGACAGTACCCACACAGCTGCTGACAGCACTGTCGTTGCTGCTGCTGCTGCTACTGCTTCCAGCGACCACCGGGCTGCCTCCTGTAATCAGAGTGGGTGAGTAAAGTCTACACCAACAGTCTGAGAGATCATTGTTTTAGAACAAGTATTAAGTAACAAGTTAATAAATTAGACACATGTGGAACACCTGAATTCCTTTACTGAGGAAACGTTTCGCCCCACAGTGACTTCCTCAGTCCAATAATATTGGATTGAGGAATTGTTTACATGTATCTGATTTATCAGCCATTTATCTGAGTAAAGTAACAATGGAGACAACTAGCGGTTCGCCAGATAGAAACAGTCTTGAAATTAAGACCAGCCTTTTACCAGGGACAACCAGTCGTACCAACAGTCTGAGAGATCAGAAAAGTGAGATGAGGCAGTTTGCAATCAGAGGCCATTTTTTCTTTTTTTTTAATTTTAAATCTTTCACGTGTCAAGTAAATTAAAGGTAAAGATCATAAACCCAACACCAATAGTTTAGTAGATAAACTCAATCATTATCTGCTCCAGCATGATCGCAAAGAGGAAGATATTAATGAACGTAGAATCATTACCTTAACGAAGGTGAACTATCATGGTATGTGATCGACATTAAGAAAAATATTAATCACTAGTTAATTATTAATTGACTTCTACAATAAAAGATGAAAAATGTCAACATTCCATTTTTTATCTAAAACTGAGAAAAAAGAATTATTATATTAGATACTTTGGGAGAATAATTTCCTTAAGTTATTAAATGTTTTAATTTAAAACTTTGAGATAAGCAATCGGGAGACAATAAAGATAAAGTCAGAAAGAAAGAGAGAGAGAGAGAGAGAGAGAGAGAGAGAGAGAGAGAGAGAGAGAGAGAGAGAGAGAGAGAGAGAGAGAGAGAGAGAGAGAGAGAGAGAGAGATGGGGGAGGGAAGCCGTACGACTCATGCCTCTCTCTGTGTGGCTGGGAGCCAGAAAAGAAGATTCAGTGGGGATAGAGGAGGAAGGGTCTGGTTGTGTGCTCCTGGGGTGGAGACAGTGAAGGAAGGGGTGTCTTGGGTTTTCCTGGGGTGCATACTGTGAAAGACTGAGTGTCTTGGATCTTTCTGGGGTACAGGCAGTGAAGGATTGGGTATCTTGGATATTCCTGGGCTGCAGACAAGGAAGGAGTGGGTATTTTGGATCTTCCTGGGCTGCAGACAGGGAACGATCGGGTGTCTTGGATCTATGTGGGGTGCAGACAGCGAAGGATTGGGTGTCTTTGTTCTTCCTGGGGTGCAGATAGGGAAGGACTGGGTGTCTTGCGTCTTCCTGCGATGTAGACAGTGAGAGACTGGGTGTCTTGGATCTTCCTGGGGTGCAGATACGGATGGAGTGGGTATTTTCTGTATTCCTGGGGTGCAGACAAGGAACGAATGGGAGTCTTGGATCTTCCTGGAGTGCAGAAAGGGAAGGATTTGGAGTCTTGGATCTTCCTGGCGTATTATGACAGTTAATGATTTCGTTCTGGAAGTTTTTTTCAAAATGCAACTATTGTTAGTTGAAGAGCTTTGGCAGTGTGTTTGCCTTTTAGAGCATTGGCAGTGTGTTTTTCCTGTTGAGTTCCACTCAGTGGCAATATCTCTGGTAGGAACGTTACCCTTGTTGTTCATCATTCCAGTTCTCCTGCATTATTCCCCTTCCATTTTCTTGCGGATTTGTTTTATAATTCCATTAGTTTCATACACACTTTCATCAGCTGGTCTTTAGGTCTGTGTTTCTTGTTCGAGGGTTGAGATAACCGTTGTTATCATCTCTTGGGAATTTCTTTATTGTTCTAATGACCAATGTTGCTAGGAACTTTTCCCTCATAGACGAAACATCAACCCTTGAAATGACTTGCAACAGGAAATATTACAAGGTCTAAAATGTATTCAAAATAACATCACAGTAATTTACGTAGATAGAGGAAGCAGCTAAAAGAGAAGTGTAACAACAGATACACTAAAACAGAAAGCTCTTAATGTTACGACGTTTCGCCCAGTTCGATAAAGTAACAAAGTGTATGAATGCAATATGTGTACTTGTGTGGAACTAACCACATTTTAAAATGACGTAAAAACAGGAAGAGGTAACGACCAGACAGATGTAAGAAACAGCGTAACAGCGTAAGCTCTTATTACAACAACGTTTCGCTCAACATAATAAAATTATGTAGAGTGCTAGAGTGATGATTCAATAGTCTTAGAGTTTATGTCTCCTCGTTTCAGAAAATTATCATTATAATGCTGGTAATTTAACATCTTCCACATTACCATGACAAAAGCAAAACTACGTTGAATGATATTCTCACGTTTACAAGGGGAAATAAAAATTGATCTGCACTAGTTCTAACATTATTATCACTGTCTTATACAAGACTCCCCAACAAAAACATATTCTTGCAACTAAATGGAGTCTTGAAGACAATACTGAAGAAAACAAAAAATTTTCCAAAACTGGGAAAACATTTCAATCGTATAAAGTTTTGTTTAAGATTTAACAGAACGAAACACTGTCCCAACCCGAAAACTTTCGCAGGAAAATGTGTTTAATCTTTGCATGAGGTTCATGACCTGGTTGTCGTGTATGTCATTAATGAAAATAAAACCTTATTAAATACACTAGAGAAGGTTGGGAAAGTGGTGGCCAGAAGAAGCAGCACACCGGCAGGTGGTGGCCAGAAGAAGCAGCACCCACCGGCAGGTGGTGGCCCAGAAGAAGCAGCAGCACCAGGCAGGTGGTGGCCAGAAGAAGCAGCAGCCCCAGGCAGTTGGTGGCCAGAAAAGCAGAAAAGCACCAGGCAGGTGGTGGCCAGAAGCATTAGCACCAGGCAGGTGGTGGCCAGAAGCATTAACACCAGGCGGGTGTGGGGGCCCAGAAAAAGCAGCAGCACCAGGCAGGTGGTGGCCAGAAGAAAGCAGGCAGCACCAGGCAGGGGGTGGCCAGAAGATTAGCACCAGGCAGTGGTGGCCAGAAGAAGCAGCAGCAGCACCAGGCAGGTGGTGGCCAGAAGGCATTGCACCAGGCAGGTGGTGGCCAGAAGCATCACCAGGCAGGTGGTGGCCAGAAGAAGCAGCAGCACCAGGCAGGTGGTGGCCAGAAGAAGAGCAGCACACAGGCAGGTGGTGGCCAGAAGAAGCAGCAGCACCAGGCAGGTGGTGGCCAGAAGAAGCAGCAGCACCAGGCAGGTGGTGGCCAGAAGAAGCAGCAGCACCAGGCAGATGGTGGCCAGAAGAAGCACAGCCCCAGCAGGTGGTGGCCAGAAAAAAGCAGCAGCACCAGGCAGTGGTGGCCGAAGAAGCCAGCAGCACCAGGCAGGTGGTGGCCAGAAGAAGCAGCAGCACCAGGCAGGTGGTGGCCAGAAGAAGCAGCAGCACCAGGCAGGTGGTGGCCAGAAGAAGCAGCAGCACCAGCAGGTGGGGGCCAAGCATTAGCACCAGGCAGGGGGTGGCCAGAAGCATTAACACCAGGCAGGTGGTGGCCAGAAGCATCAGCCCAGCAGGTGGTGGCCAAAAGGGCAGCAGCACCAGGCAGGTGGTGGCCAGAAGCATTAGCACCAGGCAGGTGGTGGCCAGAAGCATTAGCACCAGGCAGGTGGTGGCCAGAAGCATCAGCTCCAGGCAGGTGTGGGCCGGGAAGCAGCAGCCACCAGGCAGGTGGTGGCCAAAGGAAAGCATTGCACCGGGCAGGGGTGGCCAGAAGCAATTAGCACCAGGCAGGTGGTGGCCAGAAGCATTAGCACCAGGCAGGTGGTGGCCAGAAGCATTAGCACCAGGCAGGTGGTGGCCAGAAGCATCAGCTCCAGGCAGGTGGTGACCAGAAGCAGCAGCACCAGGCAGGTGGTTGGTAGAAGCATTAACACCAGGCAGGTGGTGGCCAGGAGCAGCAGCAAAAGGCAGATGGTGACCAGAAGCAACAGCACCAGGGAGGTGGTGGTCAGAAGCAGCAGCACAAGGCAGGTGGTGACCAGAAGTATCAGCACCAGGCAGGTGGTGACCAGAAGTATCAGCACGAGGCAGGTGGTGACCAGAAGCATCAGTGTCAGGCGGGTGGGGGGCCCCAGAAGAAGCATAATATCGGGCAGGTGGGGCCAGAAGCATATCACCAGGAGGTGGTGACCAAAAGTATCAGCACCAGGCAGGTGGTGGGCAGAAGTATCAGCACCAGGCAGGTGGTGACCAGAAGTATCAGCACGAGGCGGTGGGGGACCAGAAGAAATCAGCATAGGCAGGTGGGTGACCAGAAGATTCCAGCACCAGCAGGGGGTTTGACCAAAAAGTATAAGCACAGGTAGGTGGTGACCAGAAGTACAGCACGAGCAGGTGGTGACCAAAAGCAGCAGCACAGGCAGGTGGTGACTAAAAATCAGCAGCCAGGCAGGGGGTACCAGAGTATCACACACCAGGCAGGTGGTGAACAGAAGTATCAGCACCAGATAGGTGGTGACCAGAAGCATCAACACCAGACAGATGGTGGCCAGAAACAGCAGCACTTGGCAGGTGGTTAACAGAAGCAGCAAAACCAGGCAGGTGGTGGCCAGAAGCAGCATCACTAGTCAGGTTGTGGCCAGAAGCATGATCATCAGGCAAGTGGTGGCCAGAAGCATGATCATCAGGCAGGTGGTGGGCCAGATGCAGCAGCATCAGGCGGGTTTAGGTGACCATGGGCAGCAGCACCGGGCAGGTGGTGACCAGAAGTATCAGCACCAGGCAGGTGGTGACCAGAAGTATCAGCACCAGGCAGGTGGTGACCAGAAGTATCAGCACCAGGCAGGTGGTGACCAGAAGTATCAGCACCAGGTAGGTGGTGACTAGAAGCATCAACAGCAGACAGTTTGGGTGACCAGAAATCAGCACGAGGCAGGTGGTGACCAGAAGCAGCAAACCAGGCAGGTGGTGACCTAAGATTGAAAAGCAGCATCAGGCAAGTGGTGGCCAGAGGTACATCACAGGCAGGTGGTGCCAGATTCAGCAGCAGATGCGGGTGGTGACCAGAAACATCAACACCGACAGGATGGTGACCAAAGCAGCAGCACGATGGCAGGTGGTCACCAGA